ACACCTATAGTCCCAACTAATTTGGAATCTGAGGCCAGGAGTCTAAAGTCAGCCTGGGCAACATAGTGAGGGTCTGTATCAAAACAACACAACACAAAACACCCCAAAGACATTAAAATCAGACCTACTCATAATATTAGGGCTGTTTATGAGCTGCAGTAATTGTATAGAGTTACTGAAAATTTCAGAACTTGTGTGGTTTTCTTTTTTCCCTCTAAAGTGGGAATAATTATCTACAAGGTTTTGGTAAGGTTTTGTTGTTTTTTTTTTTTTTTTGAGACAGGGTCTTGCTATGTAATTCAGATTGGCCTGCCTCAGCCCTCTGAATGCTGGGATTACAGGCATGTGCCACCATGCCTGGGGATTATGATAAGAATTAAACAAGGTTTTTCCAAAAAAAGTTATTTGACACAGGGTCTCATTATTAATCTAAGCAAAAGCTTAGATTAATAGTGATTCTCCTGTTTTAACCTCCCCAATGCTGGGATTACAGGTGTGCACCACCACGATTGGTTTCAATGGCTGGCAATGTGTGTACCAGGGTTCTGGGGCCAGCATGGCCTGTAATACCAGGGATCCAACTTGGTTCCTTGCACTTGCCTGGCAGACACTTAGGCCCCTGAGCTATCTTCCCAGCCCTGTTTTTTGAGATCGGGTCTCACAATGTAATTCAGGATGGTCTTAAATTTAGTATGTAGTCCAGATTGGCACTGAACTCATGATAATCCTGCTTCAGCCTCCTGAGTGCTAGGATTATAAGCACGAGCCACTATGCCCAGCTTAAATGAGGTTTTGTATGTAAAGTGCTTAGTAACATCTGTTGCTTATTAAGCAATCAATAGTTTCTTGGCTATAGAAATGTTTATTCAAGAGTAAACACAGGGCTGGGGAGATGGCTCAGTGGAGATGACTCAGAGCAAAGGCCTGAGTTCATCCCTGGTTCTGCAAAAAAAAGAATCTAAACAGCCGCACCATTCTAAAAGAAATTTTAAATTTTCCATTAAAAATTTAGGTGTACATGATTGAAGTTGTGGATGGCCTGTGACAATGATATGATCTGAAAGACTGCCAGGAACTGTTTTAACTAGTGTCCCAAAGACCTTAAGCCTTAGTATGTATTCACAGGAATGTCATGCTGTTTCACTGACAACTCAGTGAAAGGAGTTGTGACAATTTAGTTGCTTTTGTCTTTTGGTAGATAACAGCTGTTTTAAAGATATGTGTTACAATTGTAAAAAAAAAAAAATGTAACAATAAAATGGGAGAAAGTATTTTCAAATAATATACATAACAAGAACTTGATTCCAGAATGCTTCAGGAATTCTTAAAACTGAACAATAAATAAGACAAATAATATGGTGACACACGCCTATAATCCCAGCCCTTGGGAAGCTGAGGCAGGAAGATTGCTGCAAGTTTGAGGTCACCCTGGGCCATACAGTGAGTTCAAGGCCAGCCTGGACTACAGAAACAACAAAAATAAAATAAAATAAAATAAAAAACAATCTAATCTAAAAATGGGAAGAGGCTTTAAATAGCTACTTCGTTTGCTTTGTTTTTTGGAGACAGGATCTTGCTATGTGGTTCAAAAATGGCATTTTTGTTTGAGAAACTGTGGGGAAATTTCAACAATATCTGTTGTACTGTCAGCAGTTTACTGTTAATTTTGTTGGGAATGAGAGTGGTATTGTGGGATAGATTTACAACTCATTTGTCGTAGGTGAAAATGTTCTTCAGAGAGATCTGTGATGTGCCAATCCCTGACTCTGTACTGGTGCTTCTTGTCTCTATCCATCTCCCTGGGGAAAACCAGGGACCAGATATCCTGAGCAAAAACTCTCCATCTCCAACACAGAGAAGGGTCAGGCAGGGCCTGGAAAAGACAGACTATACAAAGAACTGCAGGGGGCTGCTCTGCGGGCTAGAGCTATACACAATGGGAGAAAGGCTCTTTACCTACCTTGGGGTTTTACAAACACTAGTGTAAGCCAACAAGTCACAATATCATGCTGAGGCTTTGATGGACCATACACATGCAAGGTGAGTAGGGGAACCCTACTTCTGAATATAGTCCCCAGGGAGCTTCTTCCAGGCCATGACACCCTTGGGTGGAGGTGAGGCTTTTGTGAAACCAGGCTGTAAAGGCAGCATTGTAGACTTGACATCTTTTGGAAAGGAATGAGTAGTGTTTCATAGCTTTTTCAAGGCCCATAGCTGAACAGGGACCAGTGACACTAAGATTAGACAGTAATTGATCTGGTAGTCTGAAGAGAGGAAACAAAATTGTAAAAGGAGTGGGGATATAGCTCAGTGCAAAGGCCCTGGGTTCAATGCCCAGAACCATCAAAAGGAAAGGAGGGGGAAGGGGAGAAACGTAGGGAGGCTCCTCATGCCAACCCTTATAAATAAGCGAAGTGATGAAGTGGAATGCTGTCAGTTTCTTCTGTGGGAAATTCTTTTTGACTAAACTGACTTACGATAGATGAGTGGTAGGCTGAATCATGGTCCCCACATAGCCACATTGTAATCCCATCTGCAAATGTTCCCTTATATGGCAAACGGGACTTTGCCCATGTTATTCAGTATCTTTAGATGGAGATGATTATCCTCAGGTCCCCAGCATACTTGGAACGATCATGGTAAGCAGGAAGCAGGAGAGCCAGCATCAGGGTGATGCGACAGAAAGGTGGAGGGGCATCCTTTGAAGAGGAAGGAAAAACCCACAAGGCAAACAGTGTTTGACAAGCTGAAAAACAAAATCAAAAGAATCAGATTCATCTCGTAGATCCTCCAGCAGGAATGGCCCTGCCTGCAGCTTGATCTCAGCTCAGTGAAACTAACTCTGGATTTCTGACTTCTGGAACTGTAAGAGATATATGTGTTATTTCAAATCATTTGTCATAGCATCAACAGGAAACCCCTACAGACATGACCAAGACTCAGAAGCTATCAAGAGATGACAAAGAAATTGGCATGGACAAAAGGCCAGATGGGTAACAGTGAAAAATAGAGAGGCCTTGACCATACATTGTCCAGCTGAAGGCTGAAGTGAGGTGAGGGACAGGCTGAATACTGAAGATAAGATTTGCGCAGGAATTATCATAGCAATTGGGAAGGAAGTGACCTTTGTTCAGACCCTCCGGGGCCACCAAATCCTAGGAAGGCCAGTGGATACTCAGTAAGCCTCTTTCTTAGTGGCTGACGGAAAAAAAAACCAAAAACCACAGTAAGCCTCTTTCTAAAAGACAGAGACTGCCTGTGAAGCTGAAAGACTCCCCAAGATCTATAATTCAAGCAGAAGTGACCCTGAGGTCAAGGGCCTCAACTACTCAAGTCCTGAACACCTAGTTCTCTTGGGTGGGGCATGGGCCAAGTCCAGAGGCTAAAATCATATAAAACACACCATGCTAGAAGCATGCTAAGAGTGTGGGATTTTCCCAACTCTGGAACCACTGATGGGACAGGCCAGGTGGATGCTCTGGGTGTTGTCCTGAGTACTGCAGGACCTTTCATGGCATCCACCAGAGGCCAGGAGCAATCCTCCTTCCCTTAAGTCTTAACCCAAAATATTTCTGGGTGTTGCCAGATGTCCCATGGGGGCCAAGACCACTGCTAGGTTGAGCATCTCCAGGCAGAGACAGTGAGCCACAACTACAGTAGATGTTAGATTGTCATACCATCAGCTATGCTAAGATGGATGGAAGGGGATGGAGTGGAGAAGGGCAGGAACAAAAGGCAAGGGGAGAACATGTGCCAAGGTCCTGTATGTATACTAGTCCCTTGATAGTTAAGAGGAACGTAGATTTTAGGGGCCAAAGAACACAGGGGGACATCATGAGGTGACTGGCAGAAACCTGACACTGCAGGTGTTTAGCAGGAATGCTACCCGGTCTTATTAATGCACACCATATAGTGCACCAATCTCCAAAAGTTTCCCCTGGCCTCACAAAAGGGCCACCTTGTCCAGGTTATCTTGCATACTGCTCAGTTCCTACTTTGAGAAATGAGGTAGGTAGAATTACATAATCTGCCAGGCCTAGGAGTGGGACTCTGATGTGTTATATATTTTGTCACTTTAAAAAGATACTTTTTTTTTTTTTTTTTTTTGGCAGAACCAGGGATTGAACTCAGGCCCTTGCACTTGCCAGGGAAGCGCTTATTCCACTGAGCCATCTCCCCGGCCCCTAAAAAGATACTTTTGAGGAATACTTTACATACCATAAAATTCCCCCATTTCAATGATTTTTCAGAGTCCATGAGTTGTGTGCCCATCCCTGGAATCCACTGTTAAGCACCACTAGCATTCCATCATTGTTACACCTGAAGGCAATGTCTAGGTGAGAAAGGAGAGCATACACACTTCTTACCTCCATAGGGCAGCTTTTACCCACTACCATTCCTCACTGTAGCTTTTCCTTGTCTTGTACTGGGGTTGTGGTAGCATATAGATTTTCTTTTTATAAATCTAAAGGTGCTTTGATGTAAAAAGATCCCTCAAGTGCAATTTTTTTTTCCTTTCTGATATTAAGGATCAAATCTAGGGCTGTGCTACTAATGAGCTATATCCACAGGACTCTTTAAATATTTATTTATTTGGTACCAGGAACTGAACTCACGACCGTGTGCTTGCTAGGCCAGAGCTGTGCCCCTCAACTATATCCGTAGTCAGTTTTAATTTTCTGAGACAAAGTTTTGCTAGTTTGCCCAGAATGGCCTTCAACTTGTGATCCTCTTGCCTCAAATTCCCACATAGGTCAGATTACAAGTGTGTGGCATGGTACCTGGAACATTCTATGGCTTTTGATAAAAGCAGTCTACTCATTTGGCAACCTTTCCTCATGCCAATGTGTACATATTCTCTCGATTTGTCCTTTGGTATACAGATCTAGGAACTGGAAAAAGAATATTTGGGATTTATTTTCCAATGATTTTGTGGTTGACTGTTTTGTTTTTGAAAGTGTCCTATTATGTAGTTCAGGTTGGCCTTGAACTCAGTAGCTCAGGCTGGCCTCATACTTGTGGTGATCCTCCTTCCTTAGCCTCCCACATTCTGGGATTATAGGCATGTGCCAACACACTATCTTCCAATGAATACTGACTTCTAAAGTTATGGTAACATGCTGAAGTATGCACACATCAGAAGCTTGTGTGGAATGACAGCAAATGCATAACTCTATGCTTCAACATCTCTTAAGAGGATAAATAAAGCAAAAGATGGGAATGGGAGGGGCCATCTGCTGGGTCATCCTGATTCTCCCTAAGTTGTCACTCCAACCTCTTGCAGAGCCTGCAGTCCTCTTTGTCTTAACACCCAGACTTGGTATCTCTGTACTCTGTCACCATGTGCTGTTGGGCCCTGGCTAAGCCTATCATTGAGCCTCTCATCAGCCACATGGGCACCATCACCCTCCAAGGGTTGCCTACTCTCCTTGCAAGTCACCAATCAGCCTGTGATTTACATGCAAGTAGGAGGAAGAAAAACAAAGCCTTTCCCTATGATTGCACAGCATGTGATGCGTTCAGTCCCCATGGTGAAGCCTGTGATGCTGATGAAGGTTTGAGCTCTGGCGAAAGCTTTTCCCACACTGGCTGCACTGGTATGGCTTCTCGCCAGTGTGGATCCTCTGGTGCAGCTTCAGGGTGGACTGCCGCCCGAAGCAGTTCCCACACTCTCCGCAGGTGTAGGGCCGTTCTCCTGTGTGTACTCTCTTGTGTCGTTTCAGTTCTGAATTCCACGTGAAGCTTTTCCCACAGTCATCGCACTTGTAAGGTTTCTTAGCAGAGCGGCTGGCCTGGTGACCCAGCCGCGGCAAACGGCTGCTAAGGCCTCTTTTTCCACCTTTGCCTTTTCTCAGCCCTCTCAGTGGGTGGCCTTTGGGGGTGCTGCTGATGTATTCCAGTTCCCTGCAATGTCTCTGGTAGTGAGCAAATGGCTTCTGAGAATTTGGGGGGCTGACCTGCCTCCGTGGCAACCAGAAGTCACACATGTTTGCCCCTCTCACTTCCGGGCTCTGCAGACCACTCTCTTTGGCTTTTCCAGCTGGCACTGCACATGGCTTTGCTCCTTTGGCCCCTTCCTGTTGTGGATTTTCCTTGTTATCACTTCTTATTCTGGGGGCCTCTATAATTAGAAAAAATATGCTTCATTTTCTATTAGGAGAAAGTACTTCAGCAAAAAGATTAAGAAATAACCGTGAGGTTTCTCAGAGCATGACTCTCCACTGACATTCCTTGGGGTACTTGTTAAATGCAGCCCCCACCCTCACCATTCCTCCAAGGCATGGAATCAGAATCTCTGGCTCCTGAGATGTTACTAATTTACATTAAAGTTGGGAACAGAGTCCTTCCCTCCTTGTCTGTAGGAAAAGGTTTACATTTCCCTGTTCCTCTTTACCTAACTCATCAGTATCAACTAATGAATGAACTAATATTTATCAGTAACAACTAATGAACTCATCAATATCAAGTAATGAATGAAAGGAAGAGAATAAATTGTCAAGTGTGGTGGTACACAACTGTAATCCTAGCACTTGGGAGGCTGGGGCAGGAGGATCACCATGAGTTAAAGGCCAGCCTGGGCCACAAAGTAAGTTTAAGGCCAGCCTGAACTGCACAGTGAAACCCTGTCTGAGAACACGCCCCGACCTCCAAAAAATGAAGTTGGATCTTGCTAGGGTCCCAATATTTGTGCCTCCCTACAAATTCACAGACTGACAATCACTAGTGAAGTGGTATTGTGAAGTAGGTTATCTAGCAGGTGTTTAGGTCATGATGATGGATCTCCTCATAAATAGGACTAGTGCCCTTATTTAAAAAAAAAAAAAAAATGCCAAAGAGAACTTGATTACCCCTTTGGTTTTTCAGCTGTGTGAGAACATAGCAAGTGTCATCTATGATGGCACCCCCATATTTCTCTCTCTCTCTCTCTCTCTCTCACACACACACACACACACACACACACACACACACACAATATCTTCTTTTGGTGCTTGATTTGTTTTTGTTTTTTTGTTTGTTTGTTTGTTTGTTTGTTTTGGTACGGAGGGATTAAACTCAGGACCTTGCATTGGTATCTTTAGCCCTGGATTTCTCAGCCTATGTAACTGTGAAAAATAAATGTCCATTGTTTATAAATTACCTAATCTAGCTGGAAGTGGTGAACACTCCTGTAATGCCAGCACTCAGGAGACTGAGGCAGGAGGATTACCATAAGTTTGAGACCAGGGGCTGGAGAGATGGCTCAGTGGTCTAAAGCACCTACTTGGAACAAGCTTGGCAAGGCATCAGGGACCGCGGTTCAATCCCCCAGCACCACATGCCAGCCAGCCCCGCCCCCTGGTGGGCTAAGCTGGCCACACACACACACCACACACACACACTCTCTCTCTCTCTCTCTCTCTCTCTCTCTCTCTCTCTCTCTCTCTCTCAAATAAATAAATAAAAAATTAAAAAAAAAATAAATTTGAGACCAGCCTGGGCTACATAGTGAATTCAAGGCCAATCTGAACTACACAATAAACCCTCTTTCAAAACAAAAAACACAAAAGGAAAAGAAAAAGAATTTCCCAGTCAAAGGGACTTTGTTATAGTAGCTTAGATGGGCTAAGTCCTCTACTTCCCAGCACATATAAAATTAACTCAAAATGGACCAAAGATCAAAATATAAAAGCTAAGTCTATCTCTTTTTGAAGATAAATTCTGTAAATCTTTGTAGCCTTGGATTAGGAAATGGTATTTTATTTTATTATTTTTTTATGTATTTGGTTGTTATGGTCTCACTACGCAGATTGGACTGATGGTGATCCTCCTGCTTTCAGCCTCCCCAGCACTGGGATTACAGGCATGCCCCACTATGCCTGGTCTCTAGCCAGCTCAGCCCACCCTGGGGATGGGGCTGACACAACATGTGGTGCCCAGGATCGAACCTCAGTTCCTGCACTTGCCTAAGCTTGCCTAAGTAGGCACTTCAGTCCGCTGAGCTATCTCACTAGCCCCAGGAAACAATATTTTAGATATGACACTAAAGGATACAAAAAGCACAGGAAAAAAATAAATTAGAATATATTAAAATTAAAAACATTTGGGCTTCAGAATATACTATCAAGAAAGTAAAAGGACAACACATAGAATGGGAGAAGACATAAAGCCTACTATTCAGAATATAGGAAGAACTGTTAAAACTCAACAATAAAAATACACACATACACACACAATTGGAAATGGGCAAAGGATCTGAATGCTGTTTCTTCAAATAAGATATAAATACATGAAAGATACCCTGATATCATTACTTTTTATGGAAAATGCAAATAAAAACTTTATCTGGAGATAAATAAATATACACACAATGGCACACTTCTCAGTCATAAAGACAGATAAGTTTGCTCCACTGTAGGAAAATAGGTACATCTTGAGACCATAATGCTAAGGGAAACAGTGAGACGCAAAAGGTGAAACACTGCATGGTTTCTCTCATCTGCAAAACTCAAAGTATAAATATTTTAAAGAGCAAAATAAAAAGAAAGAAGTCAGATGGAGACCTTTTGGAGAAGGGAAGGAATTTAAGTATGGAGGAAACAGGAAGTGACGGTAGGAGAACAGAAAATAAAAAGGGTTAGGATGTAATAAGTATATGTGCCAGCTCCTTATGATGAATTTATTATCTATCACTAATATGTACTAAAAAAACGTATATACACCATAATATTACAAAACACCCTAAGGGGATACCACATCACAGCCAAGAGAATGACTGTAATAAAAAAAACTTAAACAGGTACCATAAGGAATGGGAAGGAATTAGAATCCTCACAGTTAGTGGGGATGTGAAATGGTACAGCTGCTTTGGAAAACAGTCTAGATAAACACAGTTACCCATGCTCTAGCAATTCAACTCCTAAGATACACTCAATAGATGAAAACATACGTTCACACAACATTTATACTCAAATGCTCACAGTAACATTATTGATAACAGGTAAAAGCAGAAACAAAGGTCCATCAATTGATAATAAACGAAGTATGGCCTGTCTGTACAATGCGTTATTATTCATCCATAAAAAAGTAATGATCTATGCTACGATATGGATCAGATTTGACAACACTGTGCCAAAGAGAAAGACACCAATACAAAAGGTCACATATTGTTTAAGTTTATTTATGTGAAATATCCTCAGAGTAAATCCACAAAGGAAAAAAAAAAAAATCTAGGGCTTGGGATATAGCTCAGCAGCATAAGTGCCTGCCTGGCAAAACAAGGTCTCCAGTTCGATCCCTGGTACCACAAAAAAAAAAAAAAAAAAAAAGATTACTAGTTCTCAGTGAGCTGTAAGGAGCGATAAGCTATGGAGTGATGGGTAATAGTGAGTCTCCTCTTGAGGTGATGAAAGGTTCTGGAATTAAACAGTGGTAATGGTAGTGCAACTTTGTGACTATATTAAAACCACTGAACTGCGTACTTCAAAAAGGTGACTTATGAGAATTAAATTTTTTGTTTTGTCTTTTTGAAACAGGGTCTCACTATGCAGTTCAGGTTGGCCCTGAGCTGACTTTGTAGCCTAGGTTGGTCTAGAACTCACCACAACCTCCTGCCTCAGCCTCCTGAACATTGGTATTACAGGTGTGAGCCACTGTGCCTTGCTAAATTTTCTGTTTTGAGACAACGTCTTGATTTGTAGTATAGGTTGGCCTTGGATTCACTATGTAGCCCAGGCTGGCCTTGAACTCACAGCAACCCTCCAGCCTCAGCCTCCCGGGTACTGAGATTACAGGCATACACCACATACCTGGCTCAGGTTTTTTTTTTCTATTGAGTTGTATGATTTTCTTACGGGTGTGCAACACCACACCAGCTGTGAATTATATCTTAATAGGAAAACTTCAATAGCCACACCTGGCTTGTGGTTCCTGTGTTGGTCAGTGTACTTCAGGAGGTGGCAATCGTGGCCCTACAGAGTGAGCAGCAAGGATTCTATCCTTCTGGGGATCTAAGGAAAGTTCATGAGAGACAGCATATGCATACCTGCTGCTTCTCCTGAAACAGAGAAGGCAGTGAGTGATCTACTCTCTTCAGGACCACAAAGATATAAGGTTATGGGGCAAGACCTCAGGCAGGACACAAGTTTTGCTTCTGAATGCTTCAGGTCTCCATTGCCTGAGTTCTAAAAATAATTAAACCAAAGTGCAATGGACTGAATGTTTACATTGACCCCAAATTCCTGTGTTGAAATCCTAACTCCTGGGGCTGGTAAGATGGCTCAGTGTTCTAACACACCTACTTAGAACAAGCTTAGCAAAGCACAGGGACCGCGGTTCAATCCCCCAGCACCACATGCCAGCTAGCCCCGCCCCTGGTGGGCTGAGCTGGCCACACACACACACACACACACACACACAAAAAAAAAAAAAAAAAAAAAAAAAAAGAAATCCTAACTCCCAAGATGATGGATTTTGGTCATTAGAGCTCTGTCTTCAGTGGGATTTGGGCCCTGTTTAAGAGGCCCAGAGGAGTTTGTGCCCCTTTCTGTCGCATTGAAGGCAGAAAAATCGGCAGTCTGCAGCCCAGAAGAGGACCCTCTCCAGAAGACTATGAGAAATGGGTTTTGGTTGTTTCTTTTTCTCTCTTTCTGGTTGTTTCTAAGCTACCCATTCTATGCTATTAGAGCAGCTGGGTCAGTCTATGAAACTGCCACAATGAATTGTAGCAAATGTTAAGTAAATAAGATTCTGGGCTGGAGAGAGAGCTCAGTGCTCTAGGTACCTGCCTGGCAAGCACAAGGACCCAGGTTCGGTCCCCAGTACTGCATGTTGTGCCAGACCCAAGCACTGAGCTGGCCACCAAAGACAGGCATGGTTGCGCACACCTGTGGCCCCTGCACCGGGGAGGCTGAGACAGGAGGATCACCACAAGCTGTGTAGTGAGACTGCGTACCAAATAAATACATAAATAAATATAAAAAAATAAGGCTCTAATCTTGTAATTTGCTCTCTAGCCTGCTAATTGTACCCTATATTTATATCTCAGAACTGGCCAAGGGTCACTGTCAATCAGCCAGTCTTAGCAATCATAGGGCTGTATAGAGCTGGGCCAGGAATTACACTGGTATTGTACCAAAGATAAAGAAACAAACACAAGGATTTAAAACACAACAATGTTATAGAGGAGGAAGAAGAGAACACAGAGTGAGACCTATTCTCTGCTCAGCAAAACATTCTTTCAGACTTTCTAAACATGGGATCACTTGAAGTAATGAAACTCAGCCAAAGCCTGCATGGAAGTTCCCTAACAGCTTGTTATTTGGATCTGTCTTTGTTGTAAGAATCTCTCAAAAGGGACAGACAAGTAGATACTAGAATATCTATGCATTAGCTTGTCAAACATGTCAAACAAAATAATATAAATATACTGATTTACAGTCATTATCATTGTAAATAGTGAAATTTTTTAGTGAATAAACATGTTATTCCATAAAATACTAAAAATGCAGGCACGTGCGCACACATACACACTCACTGCTAGCTAAGTCTTTGCAGAACCATGAAATATTTTCATAAAGAGAGAAGAGAGAAGGCAGTGTGTTTACCTGTCCCAGCCAACCTGGGGACTGGTTCCTGGCACAGCTGGGATTTCTCCCAGTGTTGAGGGCTCAGATGGTCATGAGACTCTTCCTGGGAAGACTCCTCCAGACAGCTCTCTCTGAGATCTCGCCTAGGAGTTTGTAGTTGAAAGTCTGGCAGTTCCTGTTCTCCAAGCTGAGAGCCAGTTTTCTCCAACAGCACCTTCTGCCCCTGCATACAAACGGCCACCTAGAAACAAGCCTCATCCATTAACATGCCGTCTGTTAGGACCAACTGAGCAGCATTTCTGCTTATTGTACCTTTACTTCAGGAACGCTGATAATGGCCTAGAGGTCAACTTGATGTACACTGTTTAAATTCCTCTAGGATGCCAAGGGAAGGCCCACAACAACAGGAATGAGGTGGTCTCACATTAGCAAAACTTCTTAAGTGGCTTCCCCTTAAGATGTGGGCTTTTCACAAAGCCTGGAGTCAAGAGTCATCTGAGGACAAGTGGAACAAATATCATGACTGGTTCTGGCCCATAAATTCCTATCCTATAACCCAGCTCCCTCTCAAGTTCTAGAAACAGATCCTGTAGGAACAGGAAGCAATATGGTAAGGGACCATTAAAAAGCATTTTAAACCAGGCATGGTGGCACATGCCTATAATCCCAGCACTTGGGAGGCTGAGGTAGGAGGATCACACTGCAAGTTCAAGGCCAACCTGGACAACATAGTGAGTTCAAGGCCAGCCTGAACTGCACAGCAAGATGCTGTCTTAATAAAACAAAACAAAAATTCTAATCTAATAAACTGTTATGCTAACACTCTCTTGGTGGGGAGATCCATTAGTGATAGGGATCTGAAAGGATTGCTGGTGAGGCAATCCTGATTTCTGACAGATTCCACTTGTTAAAGCATACCTGGTTTGCTTCTTGCCTAGGCCCTAGCAACACCAGGCAAGTAAGCTGCAACTACCTGATTCAAAGACAATATGGCTGACATTTCATGGAAACATTCATTCCCTCAAATGAAAATTCCCATCCAACATATTGATCCTGCTTTGTAAGAATTCTGACTGCAGGAGAACTTCAAGAGGAATGTGTGAGGGAAGATCTGACAGCAGAGATTCAAGAACCTTAAAGCTACTCAGGATGAGGTTCAAGAAATAATAAGAGCCCTGTCCTCTGCTTCCTCACTAGATGCCCATAACTGGGTTTTCTGAAAACCTGTTACAACTAGAAAGCTGCTCCCAGCCAGAGGCCAGAAGCAATTTTCCAAACCCACCCAGTCCTTCTGAACTTTACATAGGAAAGGATCCCAAGACAAAATATCACCCAGATGGGAAGGAAAGAAATGCTAGCACCAACAGAGGGCCCCTCTTACCCACTGCTTTGGTTTCTTGGAAGCTCTATGAAAATCTTCCACCAGGGTCACAATCTCCTTGCTGTTCACTGGACACAGGTGCCTGACCCAAGCCTGGATCTCCGGGGGCAGGATGATCAGGAACTGCTCCATCACCAGGAGCTCCAAGATCTGCTCCTTGGTGCGCAGCTCGGGCTGCAGCCACTGGCGGCAGAGCTGTCGCAGCTGGGAGAGGGCCTCTTGAGGTCCAGATACCTCTTGATAACAAAACTGTCTAAAGCTCTGGCGGGCGAGTTCAGGATCTGGGCAGTTTTTTGGCGGAGTGGGCTCCCGTTTCTCTTCTAGCTTTGTTATTATGTGTCTCTCTTGTTTGGAGGATTCCTGGTTGTGGGAGCTCAAAGTTATCTCCATTTTTGCTGCCATCTTGGGGGCTCAGGAAACAATTTTTCTCTTTGTAAACTGGTTAAAGCTTCAGGATCATGACCTTGCAGAATTTTCTTTGAATGCTAGAAAGGTGGGAGAACCGAAGCTCCACCAGGGATACGGAGACAAAGCCTTCTCATTTGCTGGTCTTTACCCCCAAATTCTGACGACAACAATCCCTGGGTGTAGGAGGAGTTTTTCAGTCAGTTAAACAAAACTAAACTAAACTGTCTTGCAAAAGAGGAAAGACCTAATATTCTAAAAGTGAACTGGGGAAAATATTTCTTTAATTTTGATAATAAGCACACGCGATTTCACAAGAAATGAGCACTATGATCCAACGGGCTGGCAGAGGAACCCCCACGAAAAGTTCAAGCTGTCTTCCAGGTAGCTTGTACTAACTCCCCCGGATCCTGGCTAACACCGACCTCGAGCATCTCGGTGGAATACACTACCCAGTGCCAGCGTGGGCTGGGGGGTCGCGAATGCTCAGTGCAGCGAGGCCCGCAGGCCCAGCCGGCCTCTGGCCAGGCGCAGCTGTACCAAGCGGACGCGCAGTTCAGTGGTGCGGCAGCTTCCGAGCTCCATCAGAGGCCTGCGAGACTAGAGTTCCCAGCGGCTTAGTGCAGCACAACCACTTGTAGCCTACTCACCTCTCTAGGGACCCAGGACCCCAACCTAGTAGCAGGGCCGGGGGCGGGGCCGAAGCGACTGACCGCGGATACGCCCACTGCCTGCAGGAAACCTCCGGTCGGTGGGCCCTCCTACACCCCAAGTGATTGGCTTTTTAGGAACAAACTTCGGTGTTTATTGGCTAATCTATCTGTCAGTAATATCGCAGAGCACCACGAGAGTCGTAGTCCGGTGGTTTGGTTTGTGGAACTGCGCAGCCGCACTCTAGCTTCCGAGGTCGCGCCAGATTTCCGGGGAGTAGATGGCACTGGGCACCAAGGACCCCTCGCAGCTCTGAGCCTTCCTTGAGGTGCTTAGTCCAGGCCCAAAAAAGTCCCACAGGACTCGGACTTCTTCCTTGATCCTGCAGGGTTTCCTCCATTTTTCCTGCAGTACCTAACCCTGTGCACCAAGTTGTTGAGTGAAAACGTGAACCAGTGCCTCACTTTCTTTGAAAGTGAAACATTCTTAAAACCTGCATGTTAAAGTTTAACCATCTCAGCACTCAGGAGGCTGATGTTGTAGGCAGCTGAGTTAGAGATATAGGCAAGTCAGATAAGCATAGGCTGTCCAAGGAGCCAGGAGGAAGACAAAATACTTTGCAACTTTGGGCCAGACCTCAAGACAAAGATTAGAAAATGCACCCCCATACTTCCAAATATAAACATGAGGGACTGATATTCTAAATTCTAATATTCTAATTGATAGTCTATCGATCACTGGGGAAGCCAGGAAGGGTCACTGACCCAATCTCCTACATGAAAAACCCCTGTTCTGTTGTTTGTTTTTTGGCGGAACTCTGGATTGAACTCAGGCCCTTGCCCTCCTCTGTTCTGTTTTAATGCCCACTTGCTACATGACTTGCTTCCCCATTTGATCCCTATTTAATTAATTTTACCTAAGCAATTATAGTTGTAATCTTCTTGGTTGACCATAGTTTTGTCCCACCTCATGCCCACGTTGGGTTTCCCAATTTTCCCACCTTGGGCCTGCTTCACTTCCTGGATTTACTCTATAAAAATCACTAGAAAAGGCCTCGGCAACCCACTCGGGTTCCCTTCTGGCTCTCTCTTGGACAGAAACTTTCTTTTCCCCAGTATTCTGCTTAACCTCCATTGTTCCTGAAATTCATTCTCTGATTTTGGAGAACATGAACTCGTACTGGACATCTAACCTGTTGGGAGGTTCTTTCCCTGTATCAGTGGCATTTAGACTAAAGCATCATCTTTTTGTGTACAAGGCAAAATACAATGTGTGACTCAGTCTTGGTCCACACAGGATTTTACAAGTTGGATTTTCAGTCCTACTATCAAGCAAAGTTATGAATGCTGAGTAGATGTTTTTTCAAACTGTACTTTTCAAGTAATGGAATGTTCAAGCTTGGGGCCATTTGACAACAGAGGTTTCATTGTATCTTCTTTGAGCTCAATAGGTACCTAATTAATCTGTTTTGTCATTTTGTCATCTCTTGTATTATTCTTTCAAATAATTTGGTTGCATGGCTTTTACTTTTTATTTTATTTTGGGGAAAGACCTACTGGGTGTTCAAGGTCTCACTACTACTAGATCGGACTCATGGTGATTTGCCTGTTTACAGCCTCCCAAGAGCTGGAGTTACAGGCCTGTGCCACCATGACCAGTCTCAATTGCTGTCTCAGTGCCCCCTGAGGGTGAGGGTGGGGCTGGCACATGGCAGGCCGAGGGATTGAACCCCCAGCCCCTGCTTCTGTTTGCAGGCACTTTAATCCTCTGAGCTATTTGGCTGGCCCTGCTTTCTTCTTCTTCAAAGCTGCATGGGTTGGCTTTTGAGGAGTTGGGAGATTTTGAGAGGCATTTTGTTGCACTGTCTTCTCATGTTTCTATTTATTTGTGTTTATCCATTTGTTTGATTGTGCTGAGACTCATGGGTTGATTATAGTGCAAAGTTTTGTTGCTAATATGATTACCTCTTCAGGTAATGTCTACTTTTTAGTGATACCTTCTGGCATGGTTAAATATTGGGAGGGGGAGCCTGCAGCATATTTGGCCCAGTATGCTCCAGCAATGGGCTGCAGTACTAATTCAAAGCAATCCAGATATTGGCATCCAGATAAAATCAATTAATAGCAGCAACTTTGTTAAGAAAAGAGTAAGAAATAATAATAGTATCAAAGATAAAATGGATATTGACATCCCCTATGAACCAATAATGTACAATCCTTAATCATTGAAATAGATCTATAATTATATTAAAAACACTAAGACAAACCAAATATCAACCTACAGTAAATATCTACTAAATGAAAGAACTTTATCTCCAGTAACAACAAAACTGTTTAACAGCAATATCATAGAATAACTAGCTACCTAAAAATTTGTAAAGCTTAATAATTATTATTTTTTTTTGTGGAACCAGGGATTGAACTCAGGCCCTTGTGCTTGCCAGGGAAGTGCTTATTCTACTGAGCCATCTCCCCAGCCCCCTTAATAATTATTCTAGTAAAAGTAGAGGGCATGGGGAATCAGAGAAAGAAAAAAGTAAAATTTGAACAGTTAAAATTGAAAAACTAAAAACTAAAAACTAATGGAAGATTGCAGGAAGCCGTTAACTGGTATCCATTTTATAATAGTGTCAGCCATTTTCTTAAGTTTCTATTCTTCTGCTGAGTTTTGTTTCTGCTCCCTCCCACCTTACCCATTCCCTGTGAATCACATGCTATGCCCCAGGGGTGGGACCTTCCTCCGTTGCCTAGATACCTGCTGATGTCAAGAGCCAAGACTTCCTCATTCCTACACTCCCTTTATATACCCAGCACCTCCCCTGAATAAATGAGACTTGATCAGAATCCTGTCTTATCTCCATTCTTTGTGTCTCCTGTCCCTTCTCATCCCCACTCCCCCTCTAGGGTCTTTGTTGACTAACCCGTGGGTCAGGACAAGTGGCGCCCAGCATGGATCAAGAATGGGGGGATTTTGTGAGGGACGCCATTGGAGGAGCCGGCACAGAAGATAGATTAGAGGATCGGTCAATGCGGGAACCTGCTGCGTTTTCCAGGCCTCGGTAAGTGAACAGCGATTATGGGTCAGAAAATAAGCCAGCATGAAATGTTTGTTGAAAGTTTAAGTAAGGCTTTAAAGGCACGAGGAGTAAAGGTTAAAATTAAGGATATGTGTCAATATTTTTGAATATATTAAACAAGTTTGCCCATGGTTCCCTATTGAAGGAACTATTGATCAGAGGCAATAGAAAAGGGTTGGTGATGCCCTTAAGGATTATTATGAGACTTTTGGACCTGAGAAGGTCCCAGTTATGGCTTTTTCTTACTGGAATTTAATAGATGAAATCTTATCCTAGAGACACTGTGACCTGGTTGTTGCTAATGTGATAAAAAAAGGGTGAAAATATACTACAGGGACAAAAAGGTAAAACCCATTTTAAGGAACAAAAGGAACAAGAACAGACAGACACAAAAAATAGAGAG